TATTTAATACACGAGTTTCACAATTTGAGTTGAATTACTGAAATAAATGAACTTTTCCATGACATTCTAATTTATTGAGATGCACCTGTATGTAAATATTACTGCTTTTTAATATTTATTGCTGCATTGGTGCATATCAAATATTAAATTGTTTTTTTTTTCTTGTGTGAAAAAAAAATGTTTTGATTAACTAAATTTTGCTAATTTTTAAAGTTATGGTTACTCTTACTTTTTAGGCAATTAGAGAAAACATATCATTATTGAGATATAAGCTTAATGCTGTTTATATGAAATATAAAAATACTTACCATACCACCCAGGCTTATTTGCAAAGAAATGTTTCAGATTACTAACTTCAGCAACATAAAGTGAACTCCTATAACAGCCCGCCTTGTATCTGTATCTCCTCTGTTGTCTGTCCCTTTCTGCTATCTATCTCTTTACTGTCTAGGTATCAGGTGGTTCTCTGCCTCTCAGGCTCTTGCCAAATGTACCAGAAAGCCCTGGGGCCCTGTTCAGTCTCTCCAATATATGTATGGGTGCACTATCACATTTTTAATTAGGGGATAACAAGTACAGCCCTCTGCCGGATTTGTGAACTTCACACATCAGATTAGCTTCCCCAACAAGCACCCTGGCAGAGGGTAGGAGCTTATCTTCCACAGCACAGGGGGAGAGAAACAGGGGAGGAGAGAAACAAAGTCAAGTGTCACAACGAGTAAGAAGAAGCAGTGGGGGAGTTAGTGTGTTAAAACACAGACTTGTGTATTCTCATAGTGTGTGTGCAAGTGTGGCATCACAGCATCTGGAGGACTGAGTCATGGAGAAGGGCTGCCGAAGCGAGACTGTGCAGGTCGTAAAACCCCCAGTGAGACACTCAACGGAGCGGATTGGCTGACATTTAATTATATCTACAACGTATGCACGTGCACGCTTAGACTCGCACTCTCGCTTTCTTGTAGCTGGCATCGACGCCATGCATCTAGTAATTCTTGTGTGCCACTGTATATGTAACTGAGCTTT